AGAAAATAATTGTTTATAAAATCATTGTCAAATAATTTCTAAAATTTAAACAAACATATCCATGGGTTTCAATTTTAGCAAATAGAATTTAGAAAATAATCAACGTAATTGAAATATTAATATAATTTATAAAACATAAATTACGTAAAATAAATAATGGTAATTCAAAACATACGTAAAATATATTATAATAATTCAAGATATAATATAACTCACTTTAATATTAACCCTTTACTCTTACTTTCCATTATCACAAACCTTCGTACTTATTAGTTTACTATCTCCAGTATCTTTTTCGTGTTTTGTTTTTTTTTTTGTTGCACTGATCTTGAGGAAATCCTCCCTATAATAGGAAGGCAAACCGTGCCATCAAACCATAAGAGTCCTCCAGAACCAACACGTGTCCACAGCCAAATCTTCCTTAGATTTTTTATCAGAAATCTTCCTTAGATTGATACTTATCTTATTAATTTTTGCGTTAATTATACTTTGCCCTAGTTTTTTTAAAATAATTATGTACCACTCGTTTGATAAAATAAAAAAAAAAACTAATCCCTAATTAAATTACACTCAACCATAACATCTAATATTTTATTTACTCTACTTATATATATATACATATATAATTTTATGTGGTATTTAATTAAGTATTTAGGGTGTCACATCTCTCCCCACCTACATAGAAGTTTGTTCCCAAACTTGACATACTTTGGTTTTCGAAGAGGTGTGGGTATTTGGTCCGCATTTGACTTTTCGTTTCCCACATAGCTTCTTTGACAAATTGATTTCTCTACAAGACTTTCACAAGAGGTACAGTCTTGTTTCAGAGAACCAAATCACGACGATCGAGAATTTGCACTAGTTGTTCTTCATAAGAAAGATCTTCTTGAACTTCCAGGTCCTCATATTCAACAACATGCTCTGGATCTCGAAGATACTGTTGAAGCATCAAAACATGAAACACATTGTGGACATTAGCCAGTTCATGTCACGCCCCAAACCCGCTCCTAAAAGTTTGGGCATGACCTTATGCAGAAATGGACATTTAGCATGATGTACATACCATATGGGGCCTGAGCGGAAGCATTTAATAGTATAGAATAACATAAAATCATATCCATTGAGCTACTATTGCCATGCCAGGATCACAAATAGTACATTCAGTAAAGAAACGTACAAAAGACACGTTCCTGAAAAGTAGCTATACACATACGGATATACAGTTCCAGCCTTGAGGCTAGGCGTATGACAAAACATTATTGACATTTCAATCGGAAACAGGCAATTAAAATACAAGCCAAAGCATGACCAAGAGTTCACAAAAGTAAGACGGCTCCACCTAAGTGCCTGGACATTTTCAGGTTGACAAAAGATAGACGAGCCTCAAGAGTTAAGACTGGCTCCCGGGTTGAGTACCTACAGAAACAGACAAGATGCGGAGTGAGCGAAGCTCAATGAATAATAGTACTTATACAGTTCAATGCACAATTTAAATTATAATATGTAACCATGCGTATGTAACTACAGTGTTCAGATGATTAATCCAATGCTGTTTTACTTTCAGAACGGCCTTAGGCCCAGATATAATAGAACGGCCATCGGCCCTGGGATAACAGAACGGCCATCGGCCCAGATATAACAGAATGGCCATCGGCCCAGAAATAACAGAACGGCCATCAGCCCAGAATGATCCAGATGTACACAAATTCCTTCAATGTTTACATTCACATCAATTTCCAACCAGCACATGTTAATGTCACGACTTATGGAAAACAAACGTTAATAGCAATAAGCATTAATGGTAAATGAATGTATATCTATTGCACTATTACTCACAGTGTTGTGGCGGGATGTTGGTTCCTTCCGAAGTATGCCCTACACACATATATAAGTCACAATTAATCCTTGTTCTTTGTTAATCATTTCCAGACTCGCTTTGGTTCGAAAAAATTTACAGATATCAAAAGGGCTTCGAATACAGATTCTAAAAATATCTGAGAGACGAGCACATAAAACGGAGCAAACTAACTTTTCTGTCATGGGCTGCACGTGCGGCTGTGAGCCCCACACGTGCGGCAAAGGCTCCCACACGCTCACAGTGTCGTGGCGGGACGTTGGTTCCTTCCGAAGTATGCCCTACACACATATACAAGTCACAATTAATCCTTGTTCTTTGTTAATCATTTCCAGACTCGCTTTGGTTCGAACAAATTTACAGATATCAAAAGGGCTTCGAATACAAATTCTAAAAATATCTGAGAGACGAGCACATAAAACGGAGCAAACTAACTTTTCTGTCATGGGCCGCACGTGCGGCTGTGAGCCCCACACGTGCCGCAAAGGCTCCCACACGTGCAGCTAGAAATCCCCGCACGTGCCTTTTTAGCAGTAGTAAAACTCATAAATTTCCCATTTTCCCGCACGTGCGGCCATGACTCCCGCACGTGCGGCGATTCTGCACAGGTTCAGTCCGAAATTTCAACTAAACTCATCTTTTGGCAAATGTTTATAAGGTTCCAAATAGGGGTAAAACATATGTTAATAAGAGTTACAAACTCACACCAATCTAGACTCTTAACTTCTTAAATCCATAAACATGATTCAAGGAACTCAATTCTTTTTTAATATACAACATCACACATGTAATTATGTAGGTACAACATAAGGAATCAAGCAATATAAGATAGGTCCTTTGTATAAACATAACATCATCCAAGTGACAAAACTTAATTCAAGGTAACAATGATCATACACTAAGTTCACTTTCAAGTCTTAGATTACACAATCATAAAGAATTCTCACTCAAATTTAGGAGAGGAGTTACAGAAGACGAGGAAGCTTACTTTTGAGCTTAAATCTTTCAAACCCCCTTCAATTCTCTAATCTTTGATCTTTGGTGAAGCTCTCTTCTAGACCCTTTCTCTCTACTTCTCATTACCCTCTCACAGGAGATGTATTATTGTAAACAAAGCTCTTAAGTCAACTAGATAAGGAACACAAGTATGCATATATATAAAGGTGGAGATAAGGACAAAATTGAATCAGTTTACACATTCTAAATTGAAATTTCACAGAATTGCTTATTATTACCTAAATATTATGCCGATCTCATATGTGACATCAATTTCGGATTATCAAGCCTCTAAGGCTCCCAATTTCTGTTTTACACGTTCTAATTGTAACAGATGCTTTTCTCATCAAACAGATAAAATCACAAATTTTTTTCATTAAGCATTTAAATGCACAAAATAAGGGACTTAAATATGTGAGAAGCACATGCGAGGGTCGGGTTATTACACTCTCCCCTCCTTAAATAAGTTTGGTCCCTCAAACTTGTTTTACCTTAAGACAGAAATAGATGCGGATATTGGTGTCGCATATCCTCTTGTTTTTCCTAAGTTGTTTCGGTTCCGTAATGTTCTTGCCATTCAACTTTTACCATTGGAATCTCTCGATTTCGTAATTGCATCACTTGTCGGTCCAGAATTCGAATTGGTTTTTCTTCATAAGTTAACTTGTCATCTAGCATGATTTGGTGATAGTCTATAACATGTGACGGATCCGGAAGGTATCCTCGAAGCATAGAAACATGGAACACGTTATGGACCTGACTCATATTTGGCGGAGGGCAACTCGGTAAGCTACCGGACCCACTCTTTTATATTTGGGTTCTCATAGTCCAACATATCGGGGTGTTCACTTACCCTTTTTCCCAAATCTCGGATGCCCTTTCATTGGGGTGACTTTCACGAACACATGACTATCTACTTCGAATTCCAAATTCCTTCGTCGGTTATCTGCATAACTCTTCTGTCTGCTTTGAGCTGTTTTCAATCTTTCTCAGATAACTTTAACCTTTTCAGTTGTCAACTGCACAATTTCAGGCCCTAGCAATGATCTATCCCTAACTTCGGCCCAACACACGGGGGACCGACACGGTCTTCCGTATAGAGCTTCATAAGGTGCCATCTCAATACTCGAATGGTAACTATTGTTGTATGCAAATTCTACCAACGGTAGATGGGTTTCCCAACTTTCTTGAAAACCTAGCACACACATTCGGAGCATATCTTCTAGAGTTTGGATCATTCTCTCGGATTGACCTTCGGTCTGAGGGTGAAAAGCTGTGCTGAACTTGAGTTCTGTACCCATAGCTTGTTGCAAACTTTGCCAGAATCTTGGAACAAACTTGGGATCCCTATCCGACACAATTGAAACCGGAACACCATGAAGCCTTACAATTTCATTCACATAAAGTACTGCGAGTTTATCTGCATTATACTGAGTCTTCACTGGTAGGAAGTGAGCAGACTTAGTTAATTGGTCTACAATGACCCATATAGAATTCATACCCCGAGAAGTACGTGGTAACCCCATAACAAAATCCATGGTCAAATGTTCCCACTTCCATTCTGGGATTGGAAGGGGTTGTAACAGTCCTACTGGTCTCTGATGTTCTGCCTTTACTTGTTGACACTGTAGACATTTATCTCTTTTTTCATACCTGGCCACCAAAAGTGTCGTTTCAAATCCCGGTACATTTTAGTACTTCTCGGATGCATCGAAAACCTCGAGGCATGTGCTTCTTCCATTAGTCTCCGTTTAAGTTCCAACACGTTAGGGACATATATTCTATTTTGAAACTTGTGCACCGAATCCACTAAACTGAACCCTGGTTTTGGTTTTGTCTCCAACTCATCACATATTTTTCGTAGAGTTTCATCTTCCATTTGACGTAGCTTAATCTCTTCAAGTAAGGTTGGTTGAGCCATCATCGCTGCTATTATGGTCTCCTGTCCACGTATCACAAGATCCACATCCATTCTATCCAATTCAACCATTAACTCCTCTTGCTTCGTAAATAGATTTTCCAAATCTCCCATATTTTTCCGACTAAGCGCATCTGCAACTGTGTTGGTTTTACCCGGTTGGTAATGAATCTATAAATCATAGTCTTTAATCAGCTCTAACCAGCTCCGTTGTCGCATATTCAACTCTTTCTAAGCAAAAAGGTACTTTAGACTTTTGTGATCGGTATAAACTTCGTAAGTAGTGCCATACAGATAATGCTGCCATATCTTCAAAGCAAAAACTACTGCCGCTAGCTCAAGGTCATGTGTGGGATAATTCTTCTCATGGGGTTTCAACTGTCGAGAGGCATAAGCGATAACTCTTTCATTTTGCATAAGTACACAACCAAGCCCTTTGTGCGAAGCATCACTGTAGATTACGAACCCTTCGGTACCGGATGGTAAGGCCAAAACTGGTGCTGTAGTCAACTTTGTTTTCAACTCTTGAAAGGCAAATTCCTGCTCTTCTGACCTTTCAAATGCAACTCCTTTTCGAGTTAATTGTGTAAGCGGCATAACGATTTTGGAAAAATCTTGAACAAGCCTCTTGTAGTAACCAGCTAATCCCATAAAACTACGTACCTCAGTCACATTGGTAGGGGTTGGCCAATTCACGATCGCCTCAACTTTGTGTGGATCTACAGAGACTCCATCATTTGTTATTACATGTCCCAGAAATGCTACCTCATGTAGCCAGAATTCACATTTCTTCAGTTTTGCGTAATGCTTCTTTTCTCGAAGTGTTTAAAGGATTATACAAAGATGATTCTCATGAGCCTCTGCACTCTTTGAGTATATAAGGATATCATCGATAAAGACCACCACAAACTCGTCCAGATAAGGCTTAAAGACACGATTCATTAGATCCATAAATGCTGCTGATGCGTTAGTAACTCCCAAGGGCATAACCAGAAATTCATAATGACCGTACCGAGTTCGAAAGGCTGTCTTCTCCACATCATCAGCTTTGACCTTTAATTGATGGTATCCGAACCGCAGATCAATTTTAGAAAAGACCTGTGCCCCTTGTAACTGGTCAAATAAATCGTCGATCCGTGGTAAGGGGTACTTGTTCTTGATTGTTACCTTGTTGAGTTCCCTATAATCAATACATAGCCGAAGTGTTCTGTCCTTCTTTTTCAGAAACAAAACTGGCGCACCCCAAGGAGATACACTCGGACGGATGAATCCCTTATCAAGAAAATCCTGTAACTGAATCTTTAATTCTTTCATTTCAACTGGTGACATCCTATACGGGGTCTTAGAAATAGATTGAGTTCCCGGTGTCACTTCAATTATAAACTCAATTTCACAGTCTATCAACTGCTCTGGCAATTCTTCTGGAAAAACATCCGAAAATTCACGGACCACTGGAATCACATCAATATCCCCATTCATCACTTGCCCCTCCAAAACACTACATAAATACCCTTGACACCCTTTTTGAATTAATTTATAAGTCATTGCTGTAGAAATCAAATAAGGTTGAGAAGTCATTTCCTGTCCCTGAAAAATAGATTCTGGTTGTCCCGGAGGGTGAAAATTGATTTGCTTCTTCAGACAGTCTATAGTTGCACCATATTCACTCAACCAGTCCATGCCCAGAATAATGCCAAAATAGGTCAAGTCAAGAGGTAATAGATTGGCATGTACCCGGACATCCCCAAGTTGGAGTTCACAAGCAAAATAGACAGAATCACAGATCATAGAGTCTCCCAAAGGTGAAGACACACATAACATATATGACAAATTTTCCTCAGATTTATCTAAATTTTACGCAAATAATTTTGACACAAAAGAATGGGTAGAGCCAGAATCAAACAATACATAAGCAGAATAACCGTGAACCATAAATGTACCTGACACTACTGTCGCAGCATTCTGCACATCCCCCGGAACCAATGCAAATACCCTGCCTTGCCTCACAGTGTCTTTGTTGTGAGCAGGTTTTGCAACTGACTTGGTGTTGGAAGTTGGTGCAGACCCTACTGAACTTGTAACATCTTTGTTGTTATTTTGTCGATTTCCTTGAGGACAATCCCTTATTAGATGACCCGTTTTGCCACATCGGAAACATGCTCCAGACAGTCGATGACAAACCCCACGGTGCCTCCTTCCACATTCTGAGCACACAGGGACTGAATCTTGAGTAAAAGTGGTTGTGCTGGAGGTTCCTGAATTTTGCTTCTTATTTGGCGGAGTAGTTGTCCCCTTTGACCACTGAGTGTTCTGCCTCTTCCCTTTCCATTCAGAAATTCGATTCTGAGTAGCAAGGTTTCTTTCTGCTATAACAGCCCTCTCCAACACATCGACATAAGTGGGTAACTTCAACATGTTGACCTTGTCCAGTATAGCGCTCTGTAATCTCTCTTCAAATTTACGTGCCTTCTTGTAATCTGTGTCCACCATATGAGGTGCAAACCGTGCTAGTTCTGCAAATTGAGCTTCATATTCGGCAACGGTCTTGTTCCCTTGTCGAAGAGTCTCAAATTCGGTCACCTTCTTGTCTCGTACACTTTGGGAAAAGTACTTATCATAAAATAACTCTAAGAATCTGTCCCATGCTAATCCCGGATGTGTAGTTCTTGTAAGCATCCACCATCTCCGTGCCTCGTCCTCAAGAGTGAAAGCAGCCAGTTGCACCTTTTGAGCTTCGGCACAAGGGAAAACTTCAAACAACTTCTCAATTCCCAATACCCACGCTTCTGCTTTCATTGGTTCTATCCCTCCTTTGAATGACGGTGGTTTCATCTTTTTAAACTCTTTGGTAAGGGTAATGGTTCGGTCTTCAGCATGGAAATCTGGTACTACAGGTGGAGGTACCGGTGGTGGTGGCAGTTACGGTTGTGGCTGTTGTTGTTGCCGTAGGGTTTCCGCCATTTCCATAATCATTCTTTCCATCCTGTCCAACCTTACAGAAGTGGCATCTTCCGGATCTTCTGCTCTTGTTCTCACCATAATCTACACAACAATCAATTATATACCATAGCCATAGTTCAAAATTGTTAGAATTAGCAGAGTACGCTTAATGTTGCCATCAATCTGTCATATACTTCCAGGATGTCATGCATGATACTTAAATCTTTTCTAGACACCCTAAAGCTTAATGGATCTGTGTATGAGATAGCAACTCGTGCTCTGATACCACTTGTCATGCACCAAACCCGCTCCTAAAAGTTTGGGCATGACTTTATGCAGAAATGGACATTTAGCCTGATGTACATACCATATGGGGCCTGAGCGGAAGCATTTAATATTATAGAATAACATAAAATCATATCCATTGAGCTACTATTGCCATGCCAGGATCACAAATAGTACATTCAGTAAAGAAACGTACAAAAGACACATTCCTGAAAAGTAGCTATACACATACGGATATACAGTTCCAACCTCGAGGCTGGGCGTATAAAAAAACAGTATTGACATTTCAACCGGAAACAGGCAATTAGAATACAAGCCAAAGCATGACCAAGAGTTCACAAAAGTAAGATGGCTCCACCTAAGTGCCTGGACACTTTCAGGTTGACAAAAGATAGACGAGCCTCAAGAGTTAAGACTGGCTCTCGGGTTGAGTACCTACAGAAACAGACAAGATGCGGAGTGAGCGAAGCTCAATGAATAATAGTACTTATACAGTTCAGTGCACAATTTAAATTATAATACGTAACCATGCGTATGTAACTACAGAGTTCAGATGATTAATCCAATGCTGTTTTACTTTCAGAACGGCCTTAGGCCCAGATATAACAGAACGGCTATCGGCCCTGGGATAATAGAACGGCCATCGGCCCAGATATAACAGAACGGTCATCGGCCCAGAAATAACAGAACGGCTATCGGCCCAGAAATAACAGAACGACCATCGGCCCAGAATGATCCAGATGTACACAAATTCCTTCAATGTTTACATTCACATCAATTTCCAACCAGCACATGTTAATGTAATGGCTTACGGAAAACAAAACGTTAATAGCAATAAGCATTAACGGTAAATGAATGTATATCTATTGCACTATTACTCACAGTGTCGTGGCGGGACGTTGGTTCCTTCCGAAGTATGCCCTACACACATATACAAGTCACAATTAATCCTTGTTCTTTGTTAATCATTTCCAGACTCGCTTTGGTTCGAACAAATTTATAGATATCAAAAGGGCTTCGAATACAAATTCTAAAAATATCCGAGAGTCGAGCATGTAAAACGGAGCAAACTAACTTTTCTGTCATGGGCCGCACGTGCGGCTATAAGCCCCGCACGTGCGGCAAAGGCTCCCGCACGTGCAGCTAGAAATCCCCGCACGTGCCTTTTTAGCAGTAGCAAAACTCACAAATTTCCCATTTTCCCACACGTGTGGCCATGACTCCTGCACGTGCGGCGATTGGCCCCGCACGTGTGGCCATGACTCCCGCACATGCGGCGATTCTGTACAGGTTCAGTCCGAAATTTCAACTAAACTCATCTTTTGGCAAATGTTTACAAGGTTCCAAATAGGGGTAAAACATATGTTAATAAGAGTTACAAACTCACACCAATCTAGACTTTTAACTTCTTAAATCCATAAACATGATTCAAGGAACTCAATTCTTTTTTAATATATAACATCACACATGTAATTATGTAGGTACAACATGAGGAATCAAGCAATATAAGATAGTTCCTTTGTATAAACATAACATCATCCAAGTGACAAAACTTAATTCAAGGTAACAATGATCATACACTATGTTCACTTTCAAGTCTTAGATTACACAATCATAAAGAATTCTCACTCAAATTTAGAAGAGGAGTTATAGAAGATGAGGAAGCTTACTTTTGAGCTTAAATCTTTCAAACCCCGTTCAATTCTCTAATCTTTGATCTTTGGGGAAACTCTCTTCTAGACCCTTTCTCTCTACTTCTCACTACCCTCTCACAGAAGATTTATTATTGTAAACAAAGCTCTTAAGTCAACTAGATAAGGAACACAAGTATGCATATATATAAAGGTGGAGATAAGGACAAAATCGAATCAGTTTACATATTCCAAATTGAAATTTCACAGAATTGCTTATTATTACCTAAATATTATGCCGATCTCATATGTGACATCAATTTCGGATTATCAAGCCTCTAAGGCTCCCAATTTCTGTTTTACACGTTCTAATTGTAATAGATGCTTTTCTTATCAAACAGATAAAATCACAAAATTTTTTCATTAAGCATTTAAATGCACAAAATAAGGGACTTAAATATGTGAGAAGCACATGCGAGGGTTGGGTTATTACAGTTCAGGTGGTAGTGCAAGGCGCTATGCCATAGGACTAATCCTTTTTAGTATCTTGAATGGCCCGATGTAACGTGGGTTTAACTTTCCTCGCTTTCCAAATCAAATAACCCCTTTTGTTGGTGAGATCTTTAGGAACACATAATCTCCTATTTGAAATTCTAAGTCCTGTCTTCGTGTATCTGCATAGCTTTTCTGGCGGTTCTAAGTAGTGTGAATTCGCTGTTGGATGAGTTGAATTTTATCACTCGTTATTTGCACGATTTTAGGGCCTAACAGTTTCTTGTCTTTGACTTCTGTCCAACATAAAGGTGATCGACATATCCTTCCATACAGTGTTTCGTACGGTGCCTTTCCAATGCTTGCGTGGTAGCTGTTGTTATAGGCGAATTCCACTAAAGGTAAGTGCTCGTCCCAATTATCTTTGAGGTCTAGCACGTAGACACGTAATATATCTTCCAAAGTCTGGATTGTTCTTTTGGATTTGCAGGTGATAAACAATGCTAAACTTCAGCGTTGTTCCCAAAGCTTCTTGCAATTTATTCCAAAAGTGAGATACAAAGCGATGATCTCGGTCAGACACGATCGAAACTGGGATACCATGCAATCAAATGATTTCCTTGATGTATAATGTGGCAAACTTATTTAGGGAGTACGTGATTTTGATTGGTAAAAAATGTGCTGACTTCGTCAATCGGTCTTTTATAACCTATTTTGCATCGTCCTTTGAGACTGATTGAGGCAGCCCGACCACGAAGTCCATAATAATGTGCTCCTATTTTCATTTAGGAATAGGGAGTGGTTACAGCATTCACATTCCTGCAGGTCTTTGATGTTCTGCTTTAACCCGTTGACAATGCAGACATTTGGAGACGTGGCTTGCTATGTCTCTTTTCATTTCTGTCCACCAATAGTGTTCCTTCAGATCATGATACATTTTTGTATTGCCAGGGTGGACTGTAAACCTCGAGCTATGAGCTTCAACCAATATCTTCTTTTTGAGTTCCCGAATGTCGGGTACGCAGATTCGATTATGAAATTTTAGCATCCCATTGCTTATAGTGAAATCAGGATCAGACGTACTCCTTTTGTCATGACCCGAACTCGCCCCCGTGGGTTAAGGACACAACCAGCCAGTAATCATGAGACTACCTATGTCCTCGAACCGAATCAACGTATTTTAAACAGAGTTAATGGGGGGCAAGCAGAAGCAATTTGAAACTTTGTCCATAGAGCTGTGCTTAAGTGCACACCATAACATTCCAAACATTTATATGTTAATAACTCACATCAGAATATGTACTAGCACAAAACACTGTACATACAGGATCATACAGATTTAAGTCAGTCAAACCCAAGACTTATATACAAAAATGGTCTGATGTTTTCGCCAACAAAACAAAACTATAAACAGAGGAAAAAAGGGCGAAGACAGTCTCGTGCGTGAGACGTTTGGGCTGACTCCTCAAAACTCTGACTGTTTCTCATAATTTCACCGGGGCTGGTTTTGGACGTCCCTTGGCTCACCTACATGTACATGAATGAGCGTGAGCGAATGCCCAGTGAATAATATCAATTAAAGAAGATACATAAGCAATGATTGAAACAGTTACAGCAAACGGCCTTTGGCCCAATCATTTATATCTATCGGCCTTTGGCCCAATCATTTATATCAGTCGGCCTTCGGCCTAATTATTCATGTCAATCGGCCTTCGGTCCAATTATTCATGTCAATCGGCCTTCGGCCCAACCATTCGTATCAATCAGCCTTCGGCCCAACTATTCGTATCAATCGGTCTTCAGCCCAATCATTCGTATCTATCGACCTTCGGCCCAATCATTCATGTCAATCGTTGTCCACTATTCAAATTAATGAACTTACAAAACTTACATAGAAGTAAACAATTGGACAACAATATATTTCAAATATTTTGTTAAGATATTACTTACAGTGATCGGTTGGTTGGTTTGCCCTGGAGCTCGACCTTACACATTCTATGAACACAAAAGGGTCACTAACAATTCAATCCGTTCTAAATTCAAATTTTCCTCTTTAGGCTTTATTCTTATCTCTTTAACTCATTTACAATGTTTAACACATGCCTAAGAGTGCTTGCAAGTGAAAGAGAACGGAAAACGAAACACAGAATGCGAAAACAAAATTTCAGAAAACAGGGTCCCCGCTCGAGGGTGGAATACCTTGCTCGAGCGGACCCTTAAGGCCTGCAAAAGTACTGGTTGCATGAAAAATAAGCTCGAGCGTGAAATAGGGCGCTCGAGCAGACAGCCTGTCTACAAAGCTCCCTGCTCGAGTAGACACCAAGTCTGCAAAAAGTACTGGAAGTACGTATTTCCCGCTCGAGCAGACATCAAAATTCTAGAAAACCCAGAATTGTTCTTTGAGCTCAATTCGACCTTCCAATCAACATTTCTTGCATGCAATGGCTCAAATCTCAGATATAATTATACTAACATGGTATAAAC